AACTCAGCAGTCATTGTCTGAACAAACCAGTCAACCTTTGACTGGGATGTAGACCCAAACACGATATCATCCACATAGATTTGTACTACTAATAGTACATCATCCGAATTATGGATAAACAACGTTTTGTCTACTCCTCCTCTTTTGTAGCCGTTCTCGAGTAGAAAGCTGGCTAACCGTTCATACCATGCCCGAGGGGCTTGTTTTAACCCGTAGAGAGCTTTCTTTAATCTGTACACGTGAGTGGGAAAATGTGGATCCTCAAAACCAGCAGGTTGTTCGACGTACACTTCTTCTTGGATCACACCATTGAGAAATGCACTCTTGACATCCATCTGAAACAACTTAAAACCAAGAAAACACGCAATGCCAAGCAGCAATCTAATAGACTCTAGTCGAGCAACGGGTGCAAAAGTTTCATCGAAGTCAATACCTTCAACTTGTGTGTATCCTTGGGCAACTAACCTGGCTTTATTGCGAACTACTTCTCCCGACTCATTCGTTTTGTTTTTGAAAATCCATTTCGTTCCAATCACATTAATGTGATCTGGTCGGGGAACAAGATACCACACATCATTCCTCACAAATTGCTCCAGCTCATCATGCATTGCCTTTACCCAGAATTCGTCCTTCAGTGCTTCATCCACTCGGGAAGGTTCCTTCTGCGACGAAAAACACACAAAACGTACCATATCGTGGTAATTTATCCTCTTACCTCGTGTACGCATGGGATCGAGTACATTTCCTATCACATCATCTTCAGAATGATTCCTGTGAACTGTAGGTGTAGGATCAATTTCCATATCTTCTTCCTTGTTCTCAACTTCTGCATAGTCACTCTGTTCTTCTACCGAGTGCTCACTGGGAACATCGTGAAGTAGTTTCGGCGAAACTTCACTCGGATCTGCACTGTGTTCCTCATCAAAGACAACATTAGCTGATTCCATAATCTATCTTCTTCCTTGTTCTCAACTTCTGCATAGTCACTCTGTTCTTCTACCGAGTGCTCACTGGGAACATCGTGAAGTAGTTTCGGCGAAACTTCACTCGGATCTGCACTGTGTTCCTCATCAAAGACAACATTAGCTGATTCCATAATCGTTCTAGTGCGCAAATTGTATACTCGATAGGCAGCAGAATTCATTGCGTAACCCAAGAACATACCTTCATCACTTTTGGCATCGAACTTCCCTCTGTATTCTCGATCATTCAACACAAAACATCGATAACCAAATATATGAATAAACTTCAGAGGAGGTGTCTTACCTTTCCATATTTCATATGGAGTTTTGGCCGTCCCTGGTCTGATATGGATGCGGTTGACAAGGTAGCATGCCGTACTTACCGCTTCTGCCCAGAAACGTTTCGCAACATTTCTTGCATGTAACATTGTTCTCGCCATTTCTTGCAGTGTCCTATTCTTCCTTTCAACCACTCCATTTTGTTGTGGAGTTTTAGGTGCAGAATATTCGTGGACAATCCATATTTGTTGCAGAATTCTGCAAACTGTTCATTTTCAAATTCACGCCCATGATCACTCCGAATTCTCTGAACACTTCCTTTTCCATTTCGGAGTTGCAGCCATGAGTGTTCGAATACACCCAATGTTTCTGACTTCTCTCTTAAGAACCTGACCCAAGTAAAACGTGAGAAATCATCAACACATACAAACACATACCTCTTTCCTCCAAGACTCTCCGTCTGCATTGGTCCCATCAAATCCATGTGCATCAGCTCGAGAATTTTAGATGTGTGTATCCCATCGATCATTTTATGATTGACCTTGATTTGCTTTCCAAGTTGACATGCTTTACACACCAGTGTTACTTGCGAGGATAACTCAGGTAATCCTCGTACAGCATTTGACTTTGACAGTTTTATCAACGACCTTGTGTTAATGTGTCCCAATCGTTGATGCCATAACTCGAGTTCAGAGTCAGCTGCTGTGAAGCACTTCTCACTTTGATTGCTTTCGTCAGGATTTACCCAAGTATAGCAATCACTTGGAGTTCTTTTTCCTGTCAACACACAATTTCCAAGAAAATTCGTAACAACACAAGCATCTTTAGTGAATTTTACCTGAAATCCAGAGTCACACAGTTGACTGATGCTTATGAGATTTGCCTTGAGTCCTTGGACAACATTGACATCTGTAAGTTTGGGCAGTCCTGATGCATCCAGATTTCCTTTGCCCAAGATCTTTCCTTTTCTTCCATCTCCAAATGTCACGTTTCCTCCTTTGAGATTTTCTTCGAATGTAGACAGCATACTGACATCTCCTGTCATATGACGTGAGCATCCACTGTCAAAATACCACCGTTGTTCACTTGACTTCAGTTCAGAAGTGTATGCCACATTGCACCTCGAGACATCTTTTCTTCTCCATACTTGCCTCCATCTCAGGGTGGGTGGTACCTGATAATTTTGCCAGTAGTAGTAATTCATTCTGATGTGACCTCTTGTTCCACAGTAGAAACAAGTGCGATGCTCACGATAGTTTTGTGGTCTTTGTCTTGGATATAGATCAATCTTGATCTTTGGAGTCTGTTGTACTTGTGAGATCACTTCATCTCCAAGTTTTCCTCCTGAAACAAAATTTCCTACTTTGTTTCTACTCCCTCCAGTATATCCAAGCAGTATGTCCAGAATCTGTTCGCCTGATTGTCAGTAAGTGATCCAATTTTGCAGTGCCATTTCCAAGCATTCTCACATTCTTCATGGTACCTTCCAGCTGATTCTGTAATAAGAGAATCTTCTCCTCTTTCTCCTGTAGTTGCTTCTTCAGATGATCAACTTCTGACACTTTCGTATCCAGCTGTTTCTTGATTTCCAGAATCTTTGCCTCATTCTCCTTCTGTTCTTTGATCAATTTTGTATTGATGTCATACAGCCTTGACATATCCTTGTACAGATCTTCTTCGGATATCTCTTCTTCAGTCTCTTCAATGATACCAATGAATGCCACAAAATTTGACATCTCTTCTCCACTTTCTTCATCAGAATCGGTTTCAATCTCTTCATGAATAATCAGAGATTTACCTCTTGTTTTTCCAATTGCACACTCGTTCTTTGTGTGTCCATATCCTTTGCACTCATAACATTGAATATCCTTTAGATTTTTTAACATTGCCTCCCTCTTGGCAATGCTAGGACATTCAGCCTTCCAGTGACCTGCTCCCTGGCATTCCAGACATTTTCCAGAATGTCTTGACTCTGCTTTGCCAGTGAGACCTGGTTTTTTCTTAAAAAACCGGTTGAATTTTTTCACAATCATCGCCATGTCTTCCTCCAGTGACACTTGGCTGAGAGCCTCAGTTGATTCTGGAACATGAAGTGCCAAACCCTTGTTTGGAGTTACTCCTTTTGGCTTTTCATATAGTTCCAGTTCTAACTCGTGAGCAGCAAAAGCCCCAACTGTCTCTTTGAAACTGATAGTATCCACATTGTTTACCATAGTAAAAGCAGATTTATGAGACATAAACTTTTTGGGTAAGCTTACCAGGAGTTTTGCCACGAGTTGTTTATCTCGATAGGTCTTTCCAAGGCCCTCTGCTTCGTTTGCTAGTGCATTCAGCCTGCCACAGAATTCCTTGACGCTCTCGTTTTCTCCCATTTGAAGCATATTGAACTGATGCTTGATTAGATCTCTCCTTGTGCGCTTGACACTTGATGTTCCTTCATGAATCAACTCAAGCGCATCCCAGGCTTCTTTTGCTGACTTGCACCCTTGAATTTGCTTAAACTCATCCTTGTCAACTGTATTGAAAATGATGGTTATGGCTTTTGAGTTCAGTGCTGATGCTCGCTT